CAGATTCAGTGACTTGACAGTTTTGGCAGGGAGGCGTCTTTTCAAAAATACCACACATTCGGTTCCCTTGCTCAGTTTCAATAAACAAGGAAAGACCAGATGTGCAGTATTGGACGATCTGTTTATATTTCACAGGGGCTCATCAGCTGTTGTGTGTAAACACTGCATTCGGTGTTCAGTGTGAAGCATTCAGACTTGATCTTCATACAATTATTGAATTATCTTCGTCATCTGTGTCTTCATTATTTACTACCATTGATACTGGCATTCGAACGATTTCCAGTGAAATAATTGCTGTTTGAATATTCTAGTACTGGGTAATTTGAGTCAGGTTGTATTTCCGTTCAGATGAGGTGGAGTCGAAGCTGAAGAAGTCAGTCCGCTTAGATGTTGTGAAGACAGAATGATTGAATCTGGTGTTGTGTGCAAGTCTGTTGTGACAAGGATGTTGTGGAGAGTGTTCCTCTGACGGTGGGAATTCAGATGTCGACTGTCCGTGTGATGAGTGTTGGGGATAGATCCGTGGGAGTTGATTTGTATTCGGGATGACGAAGATGCAGACGTCAATGAGGATAATGAGTGGGAGGAAGAGTGCGTTGAAGTGTCGGAGGGTGGCGATGAGGTATTTTAGTGATGATGAATAAATAGATGGTGTTGTTGTTGTTGTTGTTGTGGTGGTGGTGGTGTTGCCGTTTGTGGAGTTGTTGTCGGTGGTGACTATTTCTGCTGTTGTTGATGATTGTTGAAGTGATATCGCGCCCCGTGCTCGTCTACACTGTGAATGTGCATGTTCATGTGCATATGGATTTTGGCATGACGTTTAGTTGTGTCGAAAGTGTTGATGCGTGTGTTTGAGTTGTTGAGTGGATAATGATTGAGCGTGTAGATCTCGGTGGTCGCCGTATCATTAAAAAAGGTAGACATGCACGTCGACGTGGGTGTGTATGTGGCGTTTTGTTTATATGAGTGGATGAGTGGGTGGGTGAGTGAGTGAGTGAATGAATTATTGTGCGTGTGAGTGTGTGTTGGTTTGTCAGTGTGTTGATTGATGAAGATGTGTTTTGTTTGTTTGTGATTGTGAGAGTTGACTGGCGAAATTGGCGTCGGCGACGGTCGCTGTGGTCTAGTGGTTAGGACATTGCGTTGTGGCCGCACTAACCCAGGTTCGAATCCTGGCAGCGACATACCGACTTTTGCAGCCACCTACAAATACAATCACAAAATACAACCATCAACCACACACAACCACAAACCAACTACACTGTAGTCACTTCAGTCGACTTCGCCAACACCAGTCAAACTTGCATCGAGAATTGTCGTGCAAAACAACCTGTTTTCGCAAACGCCGTTCGTAGAACTCGATCCGCATCGACTGTCTCGACATTCCGGAGGGCAACGTCACCTCCAGATTCAGTGACTTGACAGTTTTGGCAGGGAGGCGTCTTTTCAAAAATACCACACATTCGGTTCCCTTGCTCAGTTTCAATAAACAAGGAAAGACCAGATGTGCAGTATTGGACGATCTGTTTATATTTCACAGGGGCTCATCAGCTGTTGTGTGTAAACACTGCATTCGGTGTTCAGTGTGAAGCATTCAGACTTGATCTTCATACAATTATTGAATTATCTTCGTCATCTGTGTCTTCATTATTTACTACCATTGATACTGGCATTCGAACGATTTCCAGTGAAATAATTGCTGTTTGAATATTCTAGTACTGGGTAATTTGAGTCAGGTTGTATTTCCGTTCAGATGAGGTGGAGTCGAAGCTGAAGAAGTCAGTCCGCTTAGATGTTGTGAAGACAGAATGATTGAATCTGGTGTTGTGTGCAAGTCTGTTGTGACAAGGATGTTGTGGAGAGTGTTCCTCTGACGGTGGGAATTCAGATGTCGACTGTCCGTGTGATGAGTGTTGGGGATAGATCCGTGGGAGTTGATTTGTATTCGGGATGACGAAGATGCAGACGTCAATGAGGATAATGAGTGGGAGGAAGAGTGCGTTGAAGTGTCGGAGGGTGGCGATGAGGTATTTTAATGATGATGAATAAATAGATGGCGGTGTTGTTGTTGTTGTTGTGGTGGTGGTGGTGTTGCCGTTTGTGGAGTTGTTGTCGGTGGTGACTATTTCTGCTGTTGTTGATGATTGTTGAAGTGATATCGCGCCCCGTGCTCGTCTACACTGTGAATGTGCATGTTCATGTGCATATGGATTTTGGCATGACGTTTAGTTGTGTCGAAAGTGTTGATGCGTGTGTTTGAGTTGTTGAGTGGATAATGATTGAGCGTGTGGATGTCGGTGTGTTGGGGCCCTGATATCGAGGTAGACATGCACGTCGACGTGGGTGTGTATGTGGCGTTTTGTTTATATGAGTGGATGAGTGGGTGGGTGAGTGAGTGAGTGAATGAATTATTGTGCGTGTGAGTGTGTGTTGGTTCGTCAGTGTGTTGATTGATGAAGATGTGTTTTGTTTGTTTGTGATTGTGAGAGTTGACTGGCGAAATTGGCGTCGGCGACGGTCGCTGTGGTCTAGTGGTTAGGACATTGCGTTGTGGCCGCACTAACCCAGGTTCGAATCCTGGCAGCGACATACCGACTTTTGCAGCCACCTACAAATACAATCACAAAATACAACCATCAACCACACACAACCACAAACCAACTATACTGTAGTCACAGCTCCAGCCTAGAATTTTGAAGTTTCGGTAGCAGTGGTATTTGTCTTTACGGGATGGTGTTGCTAGCCTTCCCTCTTTGCCAGTCTTATTACTGGCTTAGCGAGGTAAAGGAGTTCGTCGGCCAGGGATCGAACGCCGATCCATATAAGGCGTGGTTGGCGAGCATTATACACTTTCGCCACCGACGCACCGTAAACTCTAGCATGAACTAATGTTCACATCACTGAATTTGTATTGGTACACGCTAACCAGAGAAAACATAGTTTCTCATGCCGTAAACTGTAGAATAACTAACATAAATAATTATATTTTATACTGATATTACCTTTTGCATGGAGAAATAAATCCTCGCCTTCCATGTCAGTTGTCTTCTGTGATTTCCAGAACACTTGGTCGACTTCTGTCAATCTACTAACCCCTACCAAGATTTTTAGTTTAGATTATGTATGGAACTCACGCTAACTTGTCACGTTGTTTTTTCTGTTCCGAACTTTTAAAACACTGGACTTCTTTTGGTATTTATGAGTTCAAAACATACACTTGCGTAGAAAAGAAGTAGTTTGCACTCCCTATTTCTACCTTGACGGTAGAGAGATAAACATTTATCTATTTATTATTTGTTTTGTGTATTTAGTTAAACTATGCACCTTTCCCTTATCAATACGTCGATGATACTTTCATTATTTATGATGAGAATTTGTATCTCGGAAACCTGCTCCAAACCTTCACTAGTATGGACTTCACTCTAGAAGTTTAATCGGAATCGATGTTGAACTGCGAAGAATTGCTGATAACTCGCTAAGGAAATCCTTCTACAAACGCCCACATTAAGTGAACGAACAGTTTATTAATTTTCAAACCGCTTTCTCTCCATGCAGAAAGATGAATTTCACCTGTTCTCTTTCCTAGAGGATCCAAAATCAATCTCCAAAGAATCCTGATGGGAAATGGTCTCCCTATCAGATTCATGGAAAAAAACCTGAAACCAAAAAAACGTCTGAACAGGTCTAGGTCTCCCTTGAAAAGATCCTGCTGAGGAATCTCGAATTGGAAAAGAAATTCTCTGAAGATGGCTTTTGGAATCACTCGATAAAATATACTTCTCTGACATTTCGGCTAGCAACTAGAAGGCAAGCCACCACATCGGGCCACATCAACATGCATATACCAGTTCACTTGTTCTTGTGGAGTTGAGTACACTGGCCATAGCATGCCTCCGCTTGTAAAACTCTCTCAGGAACACTCGCCAGTTTGGGTAGCAAAGCAAGAACTTGGGTGAGTCTACAGTCCAGCAACAAAACACCTAATGAATTCAAGACACTCAGTTCCATTTGAAAAGTCCTACACAAGATCCAATCATACCTTCCAAAGGGAGTGAGATCAAAACATTTTGGTATAGCTGAGGCACCAACGATCCTGAAATTCAATATATGACATTATTTATTTCTTTTATCACATGATATTGAATTGTGAATATAATCCCAAACATTTTAATCCCATTTCACATTATAAGTATTCACACCAATGTATAGATGTAATCACTAGATATAGTACATATATATATATATATATATATATATATATATATTGCTCAATGATGAATTCATTGAAAAGTTTTTTCCCTGAATATTGTGTCCTGTGCTTTTCCGAGTGTGGGGGGATAATACTGGAGTGATAAGGTGTATATTCTTGTGTATGTGTTAAACTGACGTTTCAGACCAACCAAAATCCAGTATCATTCTGCGTTTTCAATTCAAAAGCGTCTTTTTTTACCCAGAGCTCCAGTTGTTTTGAGCGAACTGCAATGACCTCTGCTGTTTGGACTGTTTCACACCTAGAAGCTTTTGGCAATTTAGTTGGTATCCAAAAGATGATGGAAAAAGATTCTTCAGTGATGGATTTATGCCCAGTTTGGACCAGGTAGTCTAATATCGAACTGTTGATGATGGTTTTTACCACATCTTTATTTAGCCACACTGTTAAATGTCCCCTTGTACGAAAAACTGAGCAAATGTCAATATATCTAGCCCTACAGGAGCAGATGAAGTGGAGAATAAAAGAAAAGGTGGCTAGGTTACATAATGCGTTTTTCAATCGAGGAATCACAACCAGTCGTGGGAAAACTATGAGCTTCAGGCTTCTTAGAATTACATACTAATCACCAGTATGTATTTGAGTAGGTTTGAAAAAGTCAGTAATCAATACACAATTGTGCAAATAATATCACGTGATATTTTCTAATTAGTTCACTTAACTATACTTTAAAGAAATGATAACCGTATAAGAATACTTATTTGTACTGTGTTGTAAACATTTATTAATTATGGCCAGTAAAACAGATCTTCAGCGTCTTGGAATATTCAAAGAACTGTCATATACCACTATTGACGATCCCTATGTTCCACAGTATTCATTCTTTCAACTTGGCAGCCGAGATAAGGCTTCACCACCGTTTTATTTACCAGGTGGCAGGGGAAAAACGAAAGCCGGCAATGATGATGGTTACTTTGCTCCATTTCAAAGAGTTTTCTCGGGCGAAGCTGGAATTACCATTAGAGAGTTACGACGTCGATGGTTAAATGAAGATAAGAGTAAACATGTTTCTGACAGACCATGGATGCCAAATAATGGCCAAAAGCATAGATCCGGAGTTGGAAGTTATATGGGTTGTTTCCAAGAAGTCTACGAAGCATTCGATCCGTCTCTTGCTAAAGTTGAGCTTAAAACTCCAGAGAAGAAAAATTTCTACACAAGTCCTGGTAAAAAGGGTACTGGTTATGGATATACAGATGTTTGCTTGAATCCATTTACCACATGGCAACCAGGTGATACTTTGTCAGGGAATCGTTTCTATGCTGAAGCGATGGAATATCACAAGGCAAAAGTTGGTGGACGGCCTACTTTTGTATCTACCTGTCGAAGTTTAGACGCATTTGATGGGAATCCTTGGGCTGGGGGTGATCCATTAGCTCCCGGCGGACAGATTGTAACAAAGTTGGGCATTGAAAACTTTCCTGCTTCTATGAGAATCGGCCCAGTGTTTATACCATCTAGTCCTGCTAAACTTGACGGGGGAATGAAAGACGGCACTATTGGAAAGTATCCAGAGTATTCTAGTGAACCGTATATGCCTGCGAATGCTATTTACCGTCCACAAGATAAATCAAAATTCGTTGCTGGTAACTGGATACCTAATCCATATGCAGCTGTCAATATACCACAACCATCGATAGTGAACAAAAATATAGATTTGCGTGTCAATGCTAAAACTCGAAAAGATCGTCAAAAAGTTTGGGACATTTGTAAATGACAATGATAGTAATAATAATTTTCTTCTTAGTATATTTTTATTTGTCAAAAAATATATTTATTTTGTTTATCCCGTCAAACGTTATTTTTTATCATACGCTATTGGCTCAGTCGAAACTTGTCACATCCCTTGATGGTGACTGATTTCAAAATGTAACGCTTAAACTTATTGGATGAATTCTCACTTATGTGTGGGTTTCACTGATTCTGCAACTGATATGATGAAATATACATTGAGATTAATCAAAATCTTTATAAACTTACCAAAAACGATCTGAGTATTAATGTCCAGCTCATCAGTGGCTACAAGTTAAATATCTTGAAGTTCTAATAACAAGTGGTGGTCAGTGAGGTCTACCAGTTCACCGGGTACGAAGATGGTAGTGGTGCTACATATACCCCGAATCGGTAGAAGTTAGAATTCATGGGATGGTCACTACATTCAGTCTCAGTGTCATAATAGTCAGCAGTCTGGTCTCGTAACCTGAGCGTCCTGATGTCGATCCCTAGCGGTGCAGTCATGCGTGAGTACTACTGTTGCAGAGCCTCAAGTATGGAGGACGACATGATTTTCCAGTATTTTCTGGTGGTATTCAATGGTTCTCTGACTGACGTGTCGGTTCATGATCTAACTTGGAACATGAAATAAATGCCTGTAAACAGACACCTGGAGACTAATGGTAAAAGTGTGTGAAATGCATGGCGGTTGAGAGGAGAAACGAGAATCTGGATGACAGAATAATTCAGTGATCTATCAGATGAGCTATCAGAACCAACTTGTAATCAGGTCATCCCATTACAATAACAGTAGTAATAGTCTGTCAACCCAAAGCTATCTCAGGTAGTCTCACCGTTATTCAAAGTATATGCTTCTGATTTGAGGTAATGTGTATATAGTCACAAATATATTTGGCGAAACTACCTTATCACAGTTATTTTTGGCTTCTCCTAATGTAAGCCACAAATATGAGTAGAACTGTAAGAGGATCCGGTGCTAATCGACAGCTCTGTATTCAGCATGACATATAATAATAAGTTTGGCTTTCTGATTGTAATGTATGATGACTGGATGCAAGCAGATTCCAAGAGTTTTAACAGGAAAGTCAGATTTCCTAATGATTAGATGAGACCGTCACCTAACTGGACATCACTGATCGTTTTAAATGAAGTCAGTGGTACAGATGAGAATGTCAAAGCCAGAAAGGATCGGATCGAGAGATCCACAGACAGCATTTAGCACAAAGAACAAGATTCGGATTTTCAATAATAATGGCAAACTTGTGAGGGATTCCATGTGATTGAGGGAAGTGATTAGTGCTTCACCAAAAGTATTTCCAACAAGCTTCTGCAGACTTTCATCAATACTTACTCTCATTGATTTCTTGATGCTCAATACATAGCCAGTCGGAGGGCATAATACAGTAATAGTAAACTATGGCAGCCAGCAAACCAACCAACAAAATATGCAGGAGGAAATCGGGACAGATACGTTGTATGCTGAAAGGTTATTCAATTGAAATCATACAAAAGAGAGGTTGCTGTCTGCAAGAAAGTTATGCAGAAGAACGCATGGACTGGTTTCACGCGTCCAAACCAAAATACTTTAATCTCAGCTGCTACTTATTGTTTTCGACCGCTTCCCCATTTTTCTGCTCAACACTATTCTCAGCTGTTGTGAAGGCTTCCAGCAAGCTTGTGTATGCTCAAAGCCTACCTTTTATCAGTCCATTCGCATGAGTTCTTGCAAAGACTTAAACATCCCTTCATTATCAGTTTTTCCAGGTAGGCGTCCTTCCGATCAGTAGGTTCCTTTCCTTCCTTATGCATTAGTGCTGCTGTTTGTAACAGGTAGACATACTGATGAATTAAGCAAACATATAACGTACCAGGTGGGAGTAGATGTTGAATACACTGACATCATCGAATAAAGTAATCAGTGAGTACTGTTATTTGGTTAGTGGGCACTAGCAGGGGACAATGGAATGCGTATTCCATCCGTTTGGAAGTGCCTGCATCCCTCTCAATGGGAATCCAACCAGGCATCCATCGTTTCAGATGTCAGAGCGTTGTCCGACGGACTACCGAACCAAAAGTGCCACCTCTTTTGCGAAGAACACCAGTGACAATTTATTTCAAGTTGTTATGTAATGTCCTTTCATTGATTTATAATGGAATGATGTACACTCAGTACCTGTATACATGTTAGCTGTAAGTGCGGACTCTGGCAAAGTGTCGTTTTATTAGTGTTGTCTACCAGAGCATGCAATCCAGGATGCTTAATTAGAAAGTGCATATAATTTTTATTATTTCTTTGGATTCCAAGTGGAACATAGGTCTTCAACAACACATCTCCACTTTCTTCTATTCTCTAAGCTCCTCTTCATCTGGGTCCCAGATTCCTCATAATCTCTCATCTCCTCCTCGAACTCACACGATCTCCTCTATGTCACTCTCACACTGATGACTCACTCGTCGCTTACCATTGGGATTTCACTCGAGCTATGGCCTCACACTCGATGTCATTCGATGGCCTCCTCAATGTATGCCCGATCCATCTCCATTTCCTTCTGCACAGTTGTTGAGCCATTGGTTCCTGGTTGGTTTGTTCCTAGCTAGAGTTTCTTGGTGCGAGTTCTTTCTGGTCGGCTGGTCATTTGATCTTCAGTATGGAGCCAGCGAGGACAGCTGTTCACAACAGTCTGCAACCTGTTGGAAATGCTTTCCGTGACACGTCGGCCAAGTTTCTGACCCGTATAGAAGGACTGACTTCACACTGTTGTTGAACAGAATCCGAATCTCGTTCGTTATACTGAGGTGGAGTGCAGATGATTTCCAAACTGGTTACAGGTTGATGAAGGCATGTCTTGCCTTTCCAATTCCGACTGGCTTTGACATCTCCATCTCTCTGAATTCTTAGCCGGATAAGTGAAGGAGGTAACCTCTGTTAAATCTCTCTCATTTCTTAAAGGATATTTTTGAAGTGGAAGAACTTTTATTAGGTATGTCTTTTTAGAAGACTTCAGAGTTCTTGCTCGTCTGTAGCAGCAAATGTTGCTTCATAGTTACACTGAGACAGTATGCCTCGAAATTAAACATATAAAATCGCTTTTCGGACAAGATAAAGAATAACGATCCATGGGGAGTGAACGAGTCCGGGACTTTGAAATGAGCAATACGAGCACAAAGCAATGAACCCAGGTGAATAACGTCTGGTTGCAGCAAGTATTAATTCAAATTTTGAGTACGTTGTCCTTACAAATCATTCCACATCGATAAAAAAAAACACTCGCAGTGATGCATAAGGTAAGGCCAAGTTGCTTGAAGTGTTTCCGGATGCATCTTCTGCCCACAGGAGAATCTTTTGATATACGAAAGGAAAGCCCTGTACTGTGTATACAGAGGTGGTTTACGCAATCCATTTTAATTTCACAGCCTTTAAAGTATGCGTTATACATATTCTGGATCTCTTACTCTAGTGAACTATATTCATTCTCTAAAACCTTACGGCTTAGAACTTAATCATCTCAGAGCCATAGTTATCACTTGATGATTTTAGATTACGTAACTTATTATTTTTCCTAACATGTATATATATATCTTAAGAATTTGGTTTATGCTATTACCAGTCCGCCAAAGCAGCTACCTAGCCATAAATTCGGTGGTTTAGATTGATTTGACTCTCTTTTTTCAGTCAAACCAGGTACACCGTTGATTAGTTCAGACCCAAATTAGAGAAACAACCCTCCTGTGTTTAAATAACTTCGATGATCTTGCTAGCAAGCACTACTACATAATTTGGTCAACCATCTTCCACCTTTGTTCACGTCGGTGCGTGTAGGGGGAAGTATCTGGTATTCAGTCTTCAGTAGAGTTTCCTGCTCAAAGTAACTAAAGTATATAATAGTAAATTGAATATTCCCATAATTTATTCAGAACAAAATATTTAGAGCGAACAATTGTTTTCAATAAATTTTTCCTTATTCAGGCTCTACAATTATAAATCCATTAATTTAAGCATACAACAGCTAGTAAAAGCAAATTAGAATCATATCACACGTCATTAAATTACTTCACCTGATTTTGTCCCATGTTCTCATTGACCATGCATATTGAAAAACTATCTGACTATTGTCCCATCCCATCTTATATTTGTTCCACAATTATTTTTATTATTTTTTTTATTATTTTTTATTATTATTTTTGATTACAGCTTGATTCCACACCGTATTTTTAGTACAAGTATGGAATTTTCAGCATGGATATCGGTAGCCCAAATTTACAGGCCGACCATAGATATCGGGTGTACGCCGGCAGGGGATCGAACCCCGGACCATGTGCATGGTCGGCGAGAGTCCTGACCACTGTGCCACCGACGCACACAAAGCGCTCCCGCGCCGGGAATCGGACCCGGGCCGCCTGGGTGAAAGCCAGGAATCCTAACCACAATACACTTTCTGATGTGATTCTAATCTGCCTTTACTGGCTACTGTATGCTTAAATTAATGGATTCATAAATGTAGAGCCTGAAGAAGAATTGATTGAAAACAATTGTTCGCTCTAAATATTTTGTATGTAATAGTAATAATTAGATTCTAGTCGTCAATTTGTTTTATGAAAAAAGTTTATACTACTTACTATTATTAAGTAGTATAAGGTTTTCTAATTTTATTTTGGTATTTAATTTAGATCAAATTGTACCGCAGTGCATTGTTTTCAGTTTGCCTCACCCGCCTCTACAATTTCAGATGTGTATATGTATGCTTCCCCATACTTAATGGCATTTTGGCTTCAGCAATGCACTGGTTAACCTCGCCTAGTTTACTAGAGCGCTAGTTTTTTAGCCGAATCCAAGCCTGGATAAAGAGCGACGATTAGGCGAATGACTAGCCACCCTACAACTTAAAAGCAATCAAACTGCTACAAAAACTTCGACGCCCAATAAAAGTAATTTTAAAAATACAAAAAATATGAATAAACAAACTTCTTTTTTGCTGGAATCGG